TTTTCCCCCCAAAGCCCCAGTAGATAGTTGTATGTCATAGGTTCACATCCTTCTAGTTGCTGTACGTGGGACTCGGCCTCACGTTGGACGGAGAAGCGGTGCCTCGGGGCGCTCCCGGGATCCGAACCCGGGCCGCCAGCATCAGAGCGCGCGCACTTAACCGCCAAGCCACGGAGCCGGCCCATACTTTACTATTTTCTAAAATGAACTTTTTCCCACTGCACTAAGTCCACTGCCTAGAGTAGAGCCCAATGTGTACAGGCACTTGATCGAGTTATTTAATGGATGTATGAATGAGTATGTTTGCCTCTAGAACACAACGGTCCTCATTTACAAACCCAAACGATGGCACTGTAACATGTGGCCTAATGGGCACCCTTAAAACAGTTGCTCCTTCCTTTCGGCATCCTCCAAATCCCCAGTGATACTCACTAACCCGGCTCAAAGTTTCCGTCTGACAATGATGACACTGAAGCCGAGACGGGCAAAGAACGGGCCCAGCCAAACAACTGGCACATCTCAGCCCTAAGACGCCTGCCTTGGCCCCTCTGTGCCCGGCTCCACACTGGGTCTCTTCTAATGCTCCACAGCCTGTTCCCAGGGAAAGCCTCCTACCTCGGGGCCCCATGCTTTCCATCGTCAAGCACACCTCAAATGAAAGGAGGCGGCACGGAGAAATGGGCCTGCCTTCACCAGGCCCAGAACGTCACAGCTGAGGGAACCCTGGCAGGGCACTTGGCCCTATCCACTTGCTGCACAGCAGAGGTGGCAGACAGAGAACGTTGGTGAGAGAAAAGTGCCGGGCATGAAGGTGCTTATCAGCACGTGTGTATGCCCCTCCCTGCTCAAGACCATTTAGTGGCACACTCGGGAGACACATTTGGGCCAATTCAGTCCCAGTTGAGGGCTCTGCACCCCAGGACTCAGCTCCTGGGCTGGTCCCACGAGAGACCCCATCAGCCAGATGAGCTTGGGTAACCCAGCCCCTGACCCCAAGCCTCAAGGGTAACACTGGCTTGGTGGGGTTCCGTGGACTTGTACCCTGGGACCACAGCACTCACACGGGCTGAGATGTCCACACGGTGAGGAGAGAAATAGTCAAGGCTGTGCAGGTGTGGGGTCCTGAGAAGCAGGTAACATTCATGGGACCGAATCTACTCCCCTTATGAGAGAACCAACTGGAACTCCCAGGCCCTCCACCCAGGACATACACGAGCATACCAAGGGTAGAACGGAAGGTAATGTTTGACTAAAGCATAGAGAAGCACAAGAGTACAGATGAAAACTTCAATTCCGTAGTCCCTTTTCAGATTCAGAATCAACTCCATGTTCTGAGTAAGGGACGCTATCATCTCAGGTAAACTAAAATTCCCTCCATATATTCCTATGAGCTGGGCTCTCCAAACACCACCGCTTCCTGTCACGGCTGACACTGCTTCTAATGTCAAGCCACAGACGTATCTATCAGTTAACGATGACTCTCCAGACATAAATAACCCCCAACAAATACAGAGAATAAGCCTGACATTTGATGAAATCATGGTTGTAAGGGCATCTGTACTGATGAAATAATTCAGGTGACAAACTCTATGCAGAGAATGCTCATATAGACACAGCTTATGATCCTGTTCACACACTGAATTTAAAGGAGCCACTATATTATCAAATGTGCGGTGGGCTCTCCAAAGGCCAGCAGACATCCACGGATAAACTTCTGTGAACCTGAAAGCAGACCCAGCCTCCGACGCAGTCTGTGTCCCACATGGCAAATGGAAACCGAGAGACATGGCACACAACGAAAGGCCGGGCAGCAGAGGACAAAGGCCGCTGCGCGGGCCTCACGCGTCCTATGCTGGGAAAGAGCCCCGAGACCTGCTGACTGCGAGGCACGTTCGGAAACGGACACGACAGGCTGCTGGCTTCCTGTGGCAAAAGAAAGAACAGGCTTTCCCAGGTGGAAGTCAAAGTCAAAGGTCAAAATAAGAGGTAGATTGCGGCAACACGGAAGATGTCAGGAATGGGGACCTCTCCATGGCAACAGAGCTGTACCACCGCCTGTCTCCCTGTCCTCCCGCTGGCGACCCCAGGCCTGTCTAGGGTGCTGTCCTGCACGCCCAGGTGAAAGCACCCAGCACCTGCACTGGGAAAGCGGGTTTAAGGGGGGTTCCCCTGTCTTCCCTCACTCCATCCCCTTCTCCATCATCTCCCACTTCCGCACAGGACCAGGAGCCTCGGGAGCCCAGGGCAGAGCTGGCACTGCCTGCAGAAGGGGAGGCACATGCTCCCTCCACCCCCTGCCTTCTCTGTACTTGGCAAGGAAACACGCCAGTTACTAGCCACCCCGAGTAATAAGGCGTTTTCAAGCCATGTGCAAGTTCTCCGATTTAGCTTTCCGAGGGGGTTCTTCACTGGAAGCCGGGTCCTGCCTGCTCCTGACACTCTGCAAGCCAGCCCACCTTTCTGTGGCGCCCTGTACAGATGTGGCCCGCGCTCGCTGGATCTCCTCCTCCAAGCGCCTCCGCTCCTCCTCCAGGCGGGCCACGTCCTCCGCCGGCCGCCTCTGCTGAACGATGAGCTGCAGCTCCTGAAGCAGGGCTTCCTTCTCCTTGATGAGCTGCAGCCGGTCCCTGTCGGCCTCAGCCATGCCCGGCCAGGACTCGGTGTCAAGCTGGGCCAGCTGCTGCTGGATATTCGAGACTCTGCCAGAGAGAGACACGGAAAAATCCACGAGCTTAAAAATTCGTTTTCACACGTTCTCAGCACATCAGACTGATTCTGGAGAATCACTCTACTAAGTAAACACTGAAATTATTGCACCGAATGACCCTTAAATGACAAAAATAAAGGATTTGGAAATGATGGGTAATAAAAATGGTTCCTAAGTCTTTTGCATAATCTCCCCTGGTCTGTGAGATTTGGCACGAGAGTAACCATATCATGCTTGTTTCTAAGAACTGACAAAAAGGCTGGCAGGCCTCAACACGCCCACGCACTGTGTGGTTTCAGGTTCATGGTTTCCTGCGTGGTACCATCCCAGAGCAGGATGGAGCTACTTCATTTCTCCCTACCCCACCCTCATCAGTAGCTAACACTGTACTGGGCACACGAGAGATGCTCCTGGCTTCCTGCCTTCTCTGCCCTGCCTAACTGCTCACAGTGCCTTGAGAAAATTCCGGGAGAGAAATGCACCTATCACTGGGCTTCTGAATAGAAAGCCGCTGACGCCCGGTGCTCTTTGTCTTCTAGTCCTGTCTACTCTCTCCCGCACCGGAGACCTTGACCATGTGTGCAATTCAAAACGCCTCACAGAGAGCAGATACTCAACAAAAGCTGAACGCCTGAAACAGTGAAGAAACATGCCAGCAAATATATGAAAGAATGAGAGTCAGCCCGGCGAGCACGGATGTGGCGAGAGGTAATCGGGATGGATGCCCACCAGTCAGCCTCACTAAATGTATCAGCATGACCATCCTCAAGGTGTAAACATACAGCCTCTACTGTCACTTTCCACGTGCCTGCACGTCCACGTGCTTGCTTGGCAAACAGCCTGCGTCGCTTTTTGTGTCCTGAGGTGTTGCTGAATGCAGATAAAGTGAAACAGATGTGGCTCATATTTTCAGAACATCCTTTCAAAGCAAAAGCAGAATGTTTTAAGCCCTTTAAGATGAGGGCCATCTGTTTCCGGCCAGACTCAACCTGAACCCAGTGCTGTGGAGGACAGAGGTTGGTATAGATGCCCAAAAACAAAATCCAAAGACTTCTCTGAAGTCACAGAGAGCTGTGAGGGCAGGTAAGTAGCAGGTGCACACAGCCCTATATCTTCTAAAACAGTGGTTCTCAAAGTGGGGCCCCCGACCAGCAGCCTCTGCATCACCCAGGAGCTTGTTACAAATGCAAACCTCAGGCCCCACCGGAGACCTGCTGAATGTGACACTCTGAGGATGGAGCCAGCCAATCTGGGGTTTGACAAACTCTCTAGGTGCTTCTGATGCTTGCTGAAATTTGATACCCTCTGCTTTCAGGTAGCCTGGCCTGGTCTGGAGGATGCTAATGGGCCTTGGAGCTCTTAGGTGCTTGCATTAGGCACCAATGTGATGGTCCTCACTACAACAGGAATGGAGGGGTGCTCCTGAGACTACCCTGTTCCGTGCCCAGGGCACATGTCACTAATCAAAGCTGGCATCCTGCCTGCGGGGTCCAGACTTCAGAATCCTTCTCAACACTGTACTCCCTGCAGATACTGCCAATCAACTGGTGTTGTCCATGCGTTAAAGCCTGTCAGCCAGCCCTGCACGAAGTCAGGCCCCTCCTGAACTAGACATGAGCATGGGGCCTAGTCAGCCTGGCTGGAGGAGAGGGCAAGACTCCTTCTTCAAGTACCAAACCAATCAGAAAACCCACAGTTATGGAAAGAAAAGAGTATACAAGTTATCGTTGAAATGTATGCATTTTACTCAGGTCCAATTCCCCAAGAAGGTAAAGAAAACAGTTGAATGTCAGTAGCTTTATTAGACAAGTTCTTTTCTAACTTAAAACTAATTTCCTGAAAATGCGTTGGAAAATGGTGCCAAATCATGTCACTGAAAAAACTAATGACAGAGGCAGCTGAACAGGGTTAGGAATCCAACTGGGCTTAAGTGTCCACCTATGTCTAATTAGTGTAATTAAAATTTAGGGCAGTCATATAACCGAAGCCCAAGGAAAACACATTCCAAGCAAACCCATAAATAAGTTAGTGCCAAGTGAGACATTATACCCAATGAAATTTGTAGAACATTCAACTGTAGATCAAGACAAGCCTGGGGCCGGCCCAGTGGCTTAGCGGTTAAGTGCGTGCGCTCGGCTGCTGGCGGCCCGGGTTCAGATTCTGGGCACGCACTGACACACCGCTTCTCCGGCCATGCTGAGGCCGCGTCCCACATACAGCAACTAGAAGGATGTGCAGCTATGACATACAACTATCTACTGGGGCTTTGGGGGAAAAAATAAATAAATAGATAAAATTATTAAAAAAAAAAAAAAAAGACAAGCCAAAAGTAAGGAATAAACATAAAAGAGACAAATGACAATAAGCAAATCCACTATGTCCTCATAATTTTTCATTTCAATTTATGTGATCCACAGGAAGGCCTATCTGAGCCCAGGTAAAGTTAGCAGAATTACCTTGTACTATATACTAACTCTCATAAATATACTATTTTCAGACATATTTTAAAAAGCAACTCCTTTTGAGTTTTCTGAGGTTTACGTGTGAGATCAAGATTCCACTTGAGTCTGCCAGCTCCAGGTTCACGGCTATTCTACAAGGATTCAAGTTGCTGAAGGCAGCAGAAGATCCAATCCTAGATAATCCTACTCTTTCCAGGAAAATCTCAAGTAATAGCCACTATCAGAATACAGGATGAGGAAAAAAACTGAATTACAGCAGGGAGGAGAGGCAAAGGGCAAATTTCAAAATGTCTGCCCACTGCAGGCATAAAACAAATAGTACAGCGGCCAAACATACACAGCGGACTGTAACTTTCCACAGCTTACGAGGAAAGTATGCAAGGACACATGGCAAGCGACAAGCTCTGCAGCAGAAACAAAATCTGGATGAAGCTGACTTCACACAACCCATCTGGAAGAGTTGTTTGGGCTGTGCGAAACACTACGCAAGCATTTCTGTGCTTAAGAATAGTGCTTTTTAAAATAAATTCCACAATGACAAAAATGAGTGCATGTTCATTTCAGAGCTATAGATGAATCTAGAAGACTATTGGCATATATCGGAAAGTGCAATTTCTTTCCCTCTATCCATACTCTGGATGCAGACATTTGGGGCATGCTCTTAGCTGAGCTGAGAGAGGCACATGTGTCCGTCAGTCTGTACTGGAAGCCAAAAGCTCTAGAAGGATTCCTTCAATGATTCCTTGTACATTCGCCATGGGATAGACAAGACAGTTCTGCCTTTAAAACAATATGCCTTGTCTACTGGGCTGCTGGCCTGGAAATGAGCCACGTGCGAGCAGTGCCCTCCGTGTGTTAGGTTTACTGCAGGAAACAGACTTTCTGCCTAAGGCTAAACACAGATGTCCAGAGCTACGATGCCCTTTCTTCTACATCCATGCCAAACAGCTGATCCACTGGTTGGAACCCCACTCCTGTGACTGCCATCACTCCAGTTCTGGGTAATAAAGGAAAAATAATTTCCAGAAGGGCTTTTTTCTGAAATATCATTTCAGTGAAATTAAATACATGGAAGCAAAACGAGGTCATGATTAAAGTTTGCAAAAAAGAAAACTTTTCCAAATTCATTTTTAAAGAGAACCAAGAACAACTTAAAATTGGCAAGGTTTTTTTCCCCTACAAGTCAACTGCATTCTTTATAGATTCTTTTTTTTAATTAATTTATTTTTTGCTGAAGATTTGCCCTGAGCTAACATCCATGCCAATCTTCCTCTATTTTTTAGTATGTAGGCCGCCAGCACAGCACAGCTGCTAACAGAGTGGTGTAGGTCCGTGCCCAGGAACCGAACCCAGGCCGTCGAGCAGAGTGTGCTGAACTTAACCACTAGGCCACTGGGGCTGGCCCCTATTGACACTTATTTTTGATAGGTAATACATTTTATGGCCTATATATAATCTCTCACAAATGCCTCTATAAACTTTAAAATATATGTCCCTGTGCTCATGATAGTGAAGAAATGAAAGCAAATCCTCAATCAACCACTTAGGGTTCATAATTATTATGTGATCTCCAAATTCTATTCCCTGAACAGATCTAATGTAGACAGAAGCAAAATACGAATCATTTTTTCCTACTATCTCTGCTGAAACACCCTTTCTGTTACAACCCAGACACCATTAAATCATGAATGGAAACCTGCATTTATGCTGCAGAAACTGCTCAGACCCTCACAATTCACATGCAAATCTTAAATATGATTTGTATTTTTCTAAGAAAAAAATGCACTCAATATTACACAGTTTTGAGGCATATTTTACATATCCAGAGCAATCCCCAATTATTTGAATTTATACTTAAATTCTGCAATCTACTATATAATTTCTCACATTCCCAAAATACTGCTGCTTTTTGGAATAGCAAATGGAAGTGCAGGCAAGCCATGGTCCCATCTGATGGCGATGAGGTGACAGATCCCAATGCGACATTCCAGGACGCGGTATCAGCGTAGAGGCTCGGGCCTTCAGATTTCAATTACAGCTACATTGATGTTTCTTACGTTTTCTCTCCTTAGTTTTCTTTTTTGTAAATAGCCATTTAAACGAAAAGCAAAAGTTCAAGAAAATCTCAGCTGAGATCTAAGTCAGATGGAAGATGAAATCACTTCACCTGATTGAAAGAAATATTGATAAACTAGTGTCCATGCGGCTCGACTCTTTATTCTACATTGGAAATTCGAGAGGTCTGAATCTAGAATATGTGGTGTAAGAAGGGTCTCCTAATACCCTGATATCCTTCCCTGCCCTTACATCTTTCCCCTTTGAACATACAGATCTTCAGAGAGCAACTTCTTTAAATGAAATGCAGAGTGTCTACAGGCTTCTTTCTCTTGGCTTGAACGGGGAAGATGAAGCTACAATGGCAAGGATGCTTTCCTTTGTTTCTCATAGCTGTGCCCCATCCCCAAAAACCCAGATACACAGTCACTTGAGAAATGAAGGAAAAATCCAAGTGACTGATCAAATTCAACTG